ACTGAAACTGGATAGTTTTCTTGCAGACTTCAGAAGCGTTCAATTCAGAGAAGTTGGACTATCCTTGATTTTGAGATTGCACGGAATTTCAGTGACTTCCTGTCCATTAATCGACAACAAAATCGAAACATTCATATACTCTTTTCTTGATTAGCTGTAGTAATTCTTGTAGTGAATTTTGATCATTTCAACAGTCTCCATTTATAACTACCCATTAAAGCAGTAAACTGTGCTAAAACTAATGTCCTTTTGATGCAGCTATGCCTGATTATCAAATTCTTTGCTTTCCTGTAGTTTCGAGACTAATTTATTTTCTTGTCGTAAATATGTATGGATGCTCGTTAACCTATTTATGTTAGTAGTTTAATCAAGAGTTGTTTAATACATGTTCTGTTTTGTACTTTCGTTAATGAAGTTGCTTGGTTCAGGCTTCTGGACATGGCCTAGGGTTAAAGAAATCTGAGAGAGCCATTAGGTACAGCCTTTGCGACTGCAGATTGAGAAGTCACAGTTGCGATGGCCGGCCAAAGTTCTCGGGACGGCCAAGAATGATCTTGGGCAATTCTCTCGAAATCTCTGCTCGAACTACGTAGTTTTTAATGCTGAAGGTCAGACAGTAGCATAGGGTGGGGAACGTTTTAGACGCATTGTCTACGATGGGTATTTCTTAGATGTCATACTTTCCTTTTCGATAATTCACCTAAGGTGAGCATTAAAGTATCCATCCATTAAGAGCAAGTCGTTTAACACATCACTTCCGTCCAGATGCACAAGCTCTTTTTCACATCAGGTTGTCAAACACGTCCCATTCACGCGTCATACAATTTTGATAACTATTTGTTCATTTCCGCCCGCTCAGAGCAGAACAGTTCTGATGGAGCCGTCACCTAGATCCCCTTTTTTACCAGATGAAAAAAAGCAAACAGTCATGCTACCTAACATGCCTGGAAAGCGTAAGTAGACAGCAGAAACAGCTGCCAGGATCAGATTAACAAATCAGGTGTCGATTATCCCTTGTAACAACGAGCAAGGATCGAAGAAAGAACTAGAAAGAACTAGTTATCCTCCTGCTGGCCATCTCTGCAGCACCTGATGCACACATGATGTGAAGCAGACGCCAAGACCAACAAACCGTAGCAGGACGAAAGCTCTAGCGAGGAGTTTACATTGGTGAATATCATAACTTTGTCACATGAGTTTTCCTTGGTAAATTGCTAGGTTGTTTCATTCTCCTTTTATTTCAAGAACTGCATTCTGAAATTTAGAAGGTTTTGCCGCTGCTTCACAGGTTGATTCTGCCAGGCAGAATCTGGCATCAAGCTTCGTGAACGGATTTATCAACGCCGGTTTCTGCGTTGATAAAATGATCGCCGATGACGCAAACAAGTGGTTCTACAAAAACAAAGAACACGGTAAATTCCAGAATTTTCTTATGACCTTTGTTAGAAATCCTGTAATATATCTTTTTTCATTTTTTGTTAAGGCATGCTCAGCGCCGCCGCCAGTCAAGGACTCATCTACCGGTGGGATATGGACAACGGTTTGACGCAGATTGACAAATTTCTCTATTCTAATGAGGACTACATCAAAGTGAGTTGTCTCATTGTTCTTTGCTTCACATAACGTCACTCCGTTTTCGTGTTGTAGGCCGGAAGTCTGTTGGCCGTTGGTATTATTAGTAGCGGCATCCATCACGACTGTGACCCCGCTCAAGCGCTTCTTCTGGATTATGTTAAAAGTGAGAAGAGTATATTCAAGATAGGAAGCATATTGGGGTAAGACTAGCGGTTTACATTCTATCAAGTTGATAGTAATTATGTTTTACT